TCAATTAGATAAATAAAGTGCTTCAAATATTACCTGGCACCTGGTAAACACTAAGAGGGTACTTCAAAAAGTTTGTGGAAAAATAGAATTAAAAGATAATGTGAATTTCTGCATGAACTTTTTGAAGTACCCTCATATAATCTACAGATATCATTGGCAATGGTATTATCATAATTTACAAAATTACTGTGTAACAAATTAGTAGGAGGCTGTAACAGACTGTTGTTTGGCCACAAAAGAGCTGTCTTCAATCTGTGACAAATTATTGATTTGGTCTTTTTATTCTCTTCTACACAGATCTATGCAAGGGGTCATTTTGGTTGAGCTCTTTATAATTAGTGAGACTAATCTTTCCTTTGGTGCTCCTTTGGGGCTGAAAATGTGACCCTTCTCTGTCCAGTGACTTACTAGGAGAATTCTCTGGCATGCCTAGGAATGTTCCTTCAAAGGAAAAGAGAGCTTGAAGAATATGGTTCCTTGGTAGAAGGATGTAGTGGGTTAGAAATCTTGGTTCTCCTTTGATCTTAGAATAGGATTTTAAGGTAATGCATGAATGGGGCTATAGCCATTGAGTAGAGGACAATAGTCCACAGATAAGTTTGGCAAAAGTGATCTAATCAATTCTAATCACTGTTTAGGGATGGGATGTGTACTTTGACTATTTTAGGTCACTGGTTTGATTCCAGCTTGAAGGACTATTGACTATTTAACCTACTGATTGTNACACGGCTGTGTACCACCAGATGTGTGTTAAAAGAGTTAGAAACACTTTGAAAGGACTCATATGGGTCAAAACTGATTGCAAAAAAAGGCCATGTTGGAAATTGTTCCCATTTCAAGAATGCAGTGAGTGAATCAGAATGTCTGCTTTTCATGATTGAAGAGGGAAATCCTTATCAGTATTTTGTGGTAAACATGGGATCATAGTTTGTCTGTGAAAGTAAAGAAAAAGCCTGGAGTTTCTCTCATATTTATTATTCAGAACACTATAGTCTTGGGCAAAACTTCTCCCAAAGTAATTGCCAATTGCCTTTATTAAAGCAGTAAAGTCAGGTCAGCTTGTCTCAGTGCATGGGAAGCAAAGAACTGAGCAATTAAAAGAAGAACAGGGTTTAGTGAAAACCTCTGAACAGAGAAGAGCAAAGTGAAAGAAAATAAGTGGTACCAACCCTCTTAGCTGTTTTAAGACAAAGAAAAAAGTGCAGGACACAAAATTACCTGCTTCTGAAAAGAAGGGAAAAAGAAAAAGAATCCAGAACAGATCTACTTCAGAAGTACTTTATGAGAAGCAGAATGCAGAAGGATAATGAATCCTTTGGGAACTTTTAAAGACATTGAAATGTGAAAAATGAATTTTGTCTTTAAAACTGTAGAACCGTTTACAATAAAAAAAA